TCTGTTTGCAAACACTATCAGCAGTGTTGGCTGTTTATATTTTCTTGTTGATACCTTTCCTTCCTCAGTGGTTTTAATAATTTGGAAAACAAGACACTGTAACCAGCAGTACTTCATAAGTTACTTACTACTCTGTATTTTTCAGAGAGATGTTTTCAGCCAGTTACTGATTCATGCAGCTCTAAATTCTAAATCACAAGCCAAACAAAACCTTGCAAGGTGAGTATTTTTCCTGCTAGATATTTGGGGAAGTAGTATTACTAAAAGTATGAAGCAGCAGGTATTCTCAAGCCAATAAATTAAGGTAAAATTGTGTCATGGAATGGTTTGGGTTGGAGGACCCTAAGATTATCTAGTTCCAACCCCCTGCCATGGCGGGGACACCTCCCACTAGGCCAGGTTGTTCAAAGCCCCTTCCAGCCTCGACTTGAACGCTGCCATATTTGGGACAGCCACAGCTTCTCTTGGCACAGGAGCATTTTTGTTAACTGCAGCAACATTTAACTAGGATAGCCAGTAACATAGCTTCCAATTCCAAAAGTACACTTGTGCAGTCTGGAGGAATGGTCTGTATTTGTTCAAGGGCAGTTGATTTTCAAATGGCTCCGTCTTAAAACGTGGCCTCCTGCCTGTTTGTCAGTGGACTGCTAAACTTCTCTGTGAAGTGCTGAAAATCAGATCTGTCCTAATGATGACAGCTGCTGTATTGGGAAATAAGGTTTGCAGAGTCTGATGTGTGAGCTTGCCTTAGTATAAATCACAAGAGTCTCATTTGGTAGAAATCATAGGTGTTGCTGCTTCATCCACATGGAGTTCTGTTGTGTTGTCTTGATTGGGACTTCTTAAAATAATGGATCCTTGGGACAATGTGAAGCCTTCCCTGTTCTCCTCCTGAGGTCTCTTTGAAACTTAAAATTACATACAATAACGAAGTGATTCCTCTGTGCACTCTGATCTTTGGGTGTTCATTTTCAATCTCTCCCAGTGCTGAAAACAATGCCGAGAATTCTGCCTAAACTTACTGCCAAGGCCAACTATTTCCCACAGGGGAAACCTTCACCTCAAGAGCAAGTCTTTACATACTGTTTTCCTCCTCTTAACAAAGATACTGATGATGATCTCCCTGTTTCTCTCCTACCTCTTCTTTCTCAGGTGCCTCCTGAGAGAACGTGATGTGATGAGACCAAATTCACCGATGACAGAGCGACTTATTAGGAAGGCAGCAGCTGTTCACTCGATGGCATAGTCTTTCCTCTGTGCTTCAGCTAAATTGCAATACGCTTACCAATCAAAGTGTGGGTGAAGGGAGCGGCGGGGTGCTCTGCTATAAACCGTGGTAGACATTGATGGTAGGTAAGAGTACCTGAGGAGTCAGAGATCTGATGATGATTTCCTTCCAAAAAATAGCTGTTTCAGGAAGTTGTATCTTACCTGATTCTACAAGGAAAGAGAAAGCTATCATGCTGATAATGCGTAGTTTTTGGAAGCATTCTAGGACACTGCTTTTCTGATATATTTTCCTGAAAGTTCCCTCTGACCTTGATTACATACAGTGCAGTAACAGGGCCTGGATTTGAGTCCTTCATTTGCCCAGTTTGTTATGTCTTTTAAACATAGCTAATAGGAAAGTGTGGGGTCAGGGCCGATACAGGGATAAACCGAGTTCCATATCAGGCCTCCTCTCCATTCAGGCACAAGTTGCAGACTCTGTCCTAAAGATCTGTCTGCATTCAGGCTCTTCCCAGGTGTGTTTTGTTGAACTCCCTCTCATAAAATGTTTAACTTTCTCCTTTCAGTGTAACACCTCAGAGCTTTCTGATATTACTGTGTGAGTGAAACCAGACAAGAGGGATAGTAGCTGCCTGCAACTATTACCAACACAGGTACTCTCTTGGCACTTTTAAATCTTTCAGGGAAAAAAGAAAAAAGCTTGGATTTTAGCTCAACCACCATCTCTGGATGGCAGGTTGGACTTTTGGGAAGTCAGGCTTTACTACCCTCTCAAAAGCACAAGGCTCTACATGTTAGCAAAGCAGAGTTTAAAAACAGTGTTTATAGAGGTGTATCAGAGCAGGTGAAGACTGGAAGGGAGCTTCTGCCATAGAAAGAGAGCTAATGGGAACTGACACAAAGCTTTGTGTGGCACAAGCAATGTGATAAGCTTTGGTGCTGCGAATGAGGTACGATGGGAGCCATGTACTTCTGTGACATTCTTGAGCCTCTGGATTCCTGCAGCATAGCAGAGCTAAGAGATTGCCCTGCAACAGTAACTCAGTACTCCCTCATGAAGGAAAAGATGATGTTTCAAACCAAAACTGAGCCTAATGCCTCCTCTTCTTCTTTCTCCTGAATAGACTCTTCAGCTGCCTGAGCTCTGGCTTTGATATTGCATCTACAAGCTCTCCTTCACACAAACATGCTTGTCCAGCTCAGGCTCTTCCCCATGTCCCACATACAGTTCCCTTTTGACCTAAAAAAACACTTCTATAGCTGGCCCTGCTCTGCCTCTGGAGGTCCTGCATAGAGAAACAAGATATGGATAGACAGATAACTTTTCCCTCAGGGAATATAAAGTCATTTTAGGGAAGACAAGTCTGAGAACTCTGCTAGCTCTTTGTGAAGTGTGTAATTGATGTGATGATCCATTGCTACACAAATTGAAGAATAACATTTGTAGTACTTTTGATATGTGATTGAGAATTTTGCCTGCTTTACATCAATAAATTCAAAGATGTGCTCAGCTGAGCAGCAAGTATATGACTTCTTTGCATGTATGGATGAAGCTTTAAATGGGTTATTCAGGTTCATTTCATAAACCTGTAACAGTCTGTAACTTCTCTGGACAATCTGTTCCAGTCTCTCACTGCCCTCACAGTAAAGAACTTTTTCCTAACATCTAATCTAAATCTGTCAGTTTAAAGCCATTCCCTCTTGTCCTTTCACTACAGGCCCTTGTAGAAAGCCCCTTTCCAGATTTCTTAGAGCAGCTTCAAGTGCCTAAAGGAGCCACAAGGTCTCCCCGGAGTCTTTTCAATGCTGAACAATCCCAGCTCTCTCAGCCTGTCTTCATAGCTCAGATGCTCCAGCTCAGATAATCTCTGTGGCCTCCTCCAGATCTGGCTCCTACAGTTCCACAGCTCTCTTGTGTTGGGGGCCTCAGAGCTGGATGCAGGATTATAGGGATATAGATACATTTATTTACAAGGAATCCAACTAAACTACCACAGCACTTAGAATTTTAAAGTATCTTAAGAAAGTTCCTTTACAGAAACATCTTCCATGAATCAGACTGTACTCTATCCTTCCTGCTTAGCTAAGAATCTACACTAAAATGCTAACCTGCATCCTTGCAGTTCCCTGGTTTAGAAACATAGGGAAGACATAAGTTCACGTATGGAGAGAAACTGCACACTAATAAGCAAAAAGTGAGTGAAAACACATTTTATTTGCAAAGGCGGCAAAACTCAAATGATTCAAGAACTCTACAGAAAAACAAATGTGAAAGAGCTCTTCAAAAGTGGTAAAATCTTTTTAATACAATCCTGATGCATGTTTTCATTTAGTTCCAAGACAGCAGTCTTAGTTAGATTTCCTAGTTTTATACATTTCCCTGTGCTCTGGGTAATCTGCAAATTTTGAGTAGTACATGTAGTTGACAGATTAGTATTGAAGACATAAATAAGTGGGAGGCTATTCGTGTTACTGTAAAGCTTACTAAAAGCAAAAGTTACTGGTCTTCGATCTTCGGCAATGGTTCCCTCTTGACAGCTAGACTACCTGAAGCAGACATCTTTGTACAGAAGGTCTTCAGTTCTGTTAACTTACAAACTTCTTACTAAGATTCAGTAGAGACTCCACAAGTTTACATATTTTCTTTTGGGGACAATACAATGCATGTAACTTTGTAAGAAAAGGCATAACCACCATTGGTAGGGTTGTACATCGCTGACGGAGGTGAGGCACATTTATCACGTCAGACCCAGGGAAGCAATATCCAGGAGCACAACAGCTACAAAGAGGAGCTATGCTCGTCAGCAATTTGCCCCATGCAACGTGGGTAACAAAACACAGAACAGCAGCTCTACCACTGGCCTCCAGAGGACATAACTGGGTTCTTCCAGTCAGGTTGTATTTCTGGAAGAATGAAAATTAACACCTACAAGTAGGGCAGGAAATATCTCTGCTTCTTGAGATGTTTCTCCTGTCCCGTAGCATTTGCTAAGCAAACGTTCACACTAAGAAAATAGGTGGCCACATTGACATGAGAGCCTGGCTCATTGAGACACAGCCTTTATATACCATCACATTTTAGTACCTACTTATTCATAGACTGGGATTTTCACAGTTTCACTTGAGCTCTATTTTTATACAGGTCACACAGCAAGTTACTGCAGATCTGCAAAGAGAATCTGAGCCAACCATTTTCTGATCCAAACAGTAGCTGCCATTGTACAGATGAAACTTGAGAATTTATGATACAGATTTAAAATAAGCTTTTGATGTTTTTGTCTTGCCATTTTAAACTTGAAACTTGTATCCGCATTAACAAGTGGTACTTTGAAAACTAAGTCAAGTCATTCTAAGGTAGATTGACTTGTTTAGAATTGCAATAGACGAGAGGACCAAGAACAATCGTATTCTGCAATGGAAAGAATCTTTGATTACTAGAAACCTGGCATCTTGCTTACAAAGAGCTGTACCGTTAATTCTTCTCTGAACTGAATTATTGGCAAAGAGAAATACTCTATATTTCTAAGAAAATACATTTACAATTATTTGCCCACAGAAGTGAAAACAATTTCCTGTCCCACAATTCTGATTCTTCTGCTACAGTTACCCAAATGTCTACACTTGATACAAGAGAGGAAAAGGAGAAGACAAGGCAATGTCTCAACTGTAACATCTGCTTTGCTAGTCCTCCTCAATACAGAAATTTCTTGGATTAGCATTCCAAAGGATTCTAGTAAAAAGAAGTATGCCAAGAAAAAGAAGTATTGCCAAGTATAGGAACACTTGCAGTACAGAAAATACGACAAGGGATACAAATAGCTCTGATCCCCTTAAGACACAATACATTTTTTTTCTTCCTCTGTGTACTCTATTGTAAACTCTGGATAAATCTGGTATTTTTCAAAGACAACAAAAATGGAGGGATTTGTCTGGTTGTCCACACAACTGTCATAAAACCGGAGCCCATCAACAGACTTTGTCGGGGGGCGCACATAGGCTGAATTGCCGTTAACGTAATCTCCAACCAACACACGAGCCACAAACATGATTTTTTTTTTCACCGTGAGCTCACAGTATGAGTGGGAATAGGAAGCGTCTCTAGCAAAGTAACTTCCTAGAAAATAATACGAAAATGTGGTTATAAGAAAAACGTATAAAGGCACAATGAAAACTGAGCATCCCCTTGTTTTTCAGGCGGTATTCAACCCAACCTTCAGGTCTCTTCTTACTCAGTTCACATAATCCCATAGAAATTTTTACAAGAGAAGAGATTTCTGCACATGATTTTCACTTGGAATTTGCTATTACAGGAGTTCGTATTTTAAAAACGAAACCACTACAGGTGTGTGTGTTACAGTGAGGAATAGATAAGAAAACACGATGACCTTCACAATCCTACTGAGGGAATGCATGCCCTTATTGCTCCCTGCTGTGAAGTCTAGCAGCCTTCATGGCACTTCATGTGCTCAATAGCACAAAGCATCCACAAATTCCTGTCTGAGTTAATAGGAACTACCTAATGCTCTGTTAGAAGCGGGCATGCTGAGGCACACACGTGGCAGGCACACCAGCCAGAGATGCGTACATAGCAAGTTAACTGAAGACCTTGTGGCTATTCATTTCTTCTAACCACACACATCTTCCTTTACTTGTGTCACAAAGTGTTACAAGTGTCATGGCACTTGTGTCACTTTGAACTCTTGCAAGTTCAAATTATGAACTTGAGCCTTCAGAAGATCCCACCTTACAGCAGCAGAGGCTTTTCCAAATCCCTAGACTCTTAACACCTTATGAAAAGCCTTAACCCTGCTCAAAGCAAATCCTTGTCCTCCCCAGAGGGAAGGAAGATCATAAAAATCACCTACTCCTTTTTTTTCCACCCTCTATAGCTCAAAACTTTGATTGCTGTAGTATCAGGGGAGTGTAAGCAGACATCTAACACACAGAATCATTTCCTACGTACCCTTCCCATAGACAGTTCCATTGCTTCCACAGATTCTCCAGTCAAAATTGTGACTACAGATGGATTCCACAAAGGAGGTCTTGGTTCCATGGAAAAGGAGCTTTTCTTTTACTTCCTTCCCTCCGTTTTCCCTTTTCATCTGTTCCTTTTGCCTAACAGAAAAATACAGAGGAGAGCAAGTGAGCCATAGAATAGAAGGGAGAAAGTAATTTTTAAAAACAAGTGTATAATGTACATGTAGGTGTCAGCTAAATGAGATATATTGGGCTGAATCAAAAGAAGCGTGACCAGCAGGTTGAAGGAGGTGATTCTGCCCCCTCTATCCTGCTCTTGCAAGACCTCACTTGGAGTACTGTGTACAGTTCTGGTGTCCTGAACATAAAAAGGACATGGAACTGTTGGAACAAGTCCAGAGGAGGCCATGAGGATGATCAGGGGACTGGAGCACCTCCCGTATGAAGACAGGCTGTGAAATCTGGGGCTGTTCAGCCTGGAGCAGAGAAGGCTGCGTGGAGACTTCATAGCAGCCTTCCAGTATCTGAAGGGGGCCTATAGGGATGCTGGGACCCTTCATTAGGGACTGTAGTGACAGGACAAGGGGTAACAGGTTAAAACTTAAACAGGGGATATATCAGGTTAGATAAAAGGAAGAAGTTCTTTACTGAGAGTGCTGAGGCACTGGAGCAGGTTGCCCATGGAAGTGGTAAATGCTGCATCCCTGGCAGTGTTCAAGGTCAGGTTGGACAGAGCCTTGGGCAACATAGAATCATCATAGAATAGTTCGGGTGGAAAGGACCTTAAGATAACCCAGTTCCAAGCCCCCTGCCATGGGCAGGGACACCTCACACTAAATCATGACACCCAAAGCTCTGTCCAACCTGGCCTTGAACACCGCCAGGGATGCATGGTCTAGTGTAAGGTGTCCCTGCCCATGGCAAGGGGGTTGGAATTAGAGGATCTTGAGGTCCTTTCCAATCCAAACCATTCTATGATTTTCTGTTTTCTCCTCTCTCAGTTTGGAAGATGAGACAGACGAGCAGTATGATGAACAAATACAAGATGAGCAATATACTGGTACCACTGCCCAGCAGTTCTAGATAATCCTGGCTTCCTTTAGTGAATTTAAGGAAGTACTGACACTACTACTGTCCCCTGCACTGCTGTACCAACCTTTTGCTCCTCTGTAGGGTCCTACTAGTTCTGCTTTTTTGTCTCATCCCGTCCCACCCAGAACACTCTGCAGAGGTACCCACAGACCCTCCGTGCCCCAGCAGTAACTAGGAGCTAGAGGCAGCTTATTCTTTACTCCATACACCCTGAGCTCTTGCTCCTCTGTGAGATCAGTGTGGCTGAGGAGACAAAGCCAGGAGAGAAACTGAGCCTCCTTGAGATTTTACTCATTTAGGCCAGAGTCAGACTGAGCTATGACACATATCAAAAGAGGAATCACAATGGAAGGCAAAAATATTTCACAGCACCCAGACATCCTACAGGTCTTCAGAAGCTGTGGAAGGACAAGACAACAATAATCTTCAGGAAGTGATCAGCTACACAATAAACAGAGCTAGGGAGAGGGGAGAATCCTTCTAACTGGTAAACTGCATAAATGAAAAGAGCAATGGATTGAAATTTGTTCATTGAGAACTTGTTAAACTCTGTCTGGTTAGCTTAAGTATCTCATTATAGAAGGATAAACAGTATGCGCTACTACATGTTTTGAAGTGCCTTAAGTTTCACTACACGAAAAGGTTTTATGAAATTATTCAGTCATGTTGCAGGTGAAAGTACTTACCTGAGCAGTATTTTCCTTCTCCATTGCCATTCCATACAGTCCTTGAATACTTGTGTTAAGTATCTGTGCCTTTGTTTTAAACTAGACATCGTTTCTATGCAGCAGCTTAATCTGTTACCAAATTAACCTGAACATGGTCATGTATTGTCACCAGCATCAGCTGAAATGTATTATCATCTGTCTTGGTATTCTGCTGCAAATCAGAAAGGAGCTCTGATCTCAGGGATCATTAAGTTAAAGCACAAGGATTCTTTCTCAACAAATACTGACTTCATTCAGCAAAGGTACTCTTGAGAAGGCCTTCGCTACATATGACTGGAACAAAAGCCCCAAGCACCTTGTAGCCTTGCTCACTTTCTCTAATGCAAGAATATTTGTAACGGACAGAACATGTGTGCAGCAGGCAGTCACTGTTCAATCCCTGAGACAATGCACTGTGCTGCATTACTGTGGGCATCCTCATCCCAAATTCTTCATCATTCATGTCTTTGTGTCTGTATTTGTCCCCCCACCTTCCAAAGAGACATGCAAAGAGAACCTTCTCCCAGAAGCATGGTGTTCTCTGGAAGGCCATTGACACAAAATTTTACTCCTGAACTGCTCCGAAGATGGAAATATCAGTCACGTTAAAGTACAGGTGGTAATGTCTTTTCTGTCCTAGGAAGCAGATACAGGACATCAGGACAAACCCCCCCCCCCAGCCTCAATAAGGATGAGGAAAGAAATACTCACCACTGAAACACTTTCCAGAGGGATGGATTCTGAATCCTCTTTATTTTAAGGATGCTGTATTTCTTCATAGTCTGATGAAACAGCTGCTTTATTTGGTTGTATTCAGCAGTTGTATCACTGATCTCCACTGCCTATAAAACATAAACCAAAGCAAAAGAAGACATGAGGCTTCAGTTAGCTCATAACACGCAGAAGCCTAATTACAGAAGGTACACTTTCAGAAGAGGGTCCCCAACTATACTTATGAAGGTTAACATAATGCTTTAGATCATGACTTTGTGCTAATTAGAACAGGTACTTAATGTGTAAATCAGTGTGTCACTCCTGCATTGCAAGGACACCTCGCTTCTCTTCAAGAAGGATGCTGAAAGGGTCAGTTAAATGTTTATCACCTCTAAGTAAGGGTTGACACAACTTTAGATCTCAGTGAAGCAGAAATTTCAGAAAGAAAACTTGACTGATTATGGCAGATAATCTTAGTTTTATATACAAAGCTGTTTAAGAACAGAAGGTGTTAGATAACAGTGTCATTTGTAACCAGATATTTAATGAAGCTTCAGCTATTAAAGGTGAAACAAATACATACAACCTCCCAGGATCACAGCTCCTTAACTTGCCAAAGTTAAAACTTGGAAAGTTGCATTTAAATACAGACTTAAGAAAAAAAGCACCATTTCTAAACATAAGAGAACAATCAGGATTCTGATAAGGTTCCACTAAACACCTGTTTAAGCAAATAGATCTCCTTTCCTAAAGGAAACAAAGTCTATTTATCCATATTTCTTGTGTTTAAAAATCCACCAGGAAATGCACATTTTTCCCAAACAAGAGCTAATGCAAAACATAATTAAAATATGATTGGATCTCTTCTGCTTTCTTGTGTCACACATAAAATTTCCACTTTTTCTATGAAGTAATTTGTATCTTTAATCTTGTAGAATAAACACTTCTCTTCCATAAGCTTGACTGAAAACGCATAATGCTGGTAGACTGATGTCACCTGGCAGTACTTTGCACTTCACCGCTGCCTAAGCAAGCTGGGACTCAAGGTGGCATCCCATACATCAAGGTTGTGTTTAAAGCACAAAAACTGCTTTAATGGAACCAACATCTTAACCAACATCAGGCAAAACCTTCATGTTTTAAAAAGCTGAGTTTAAACAGGAGATAAAATCAGACTTATATTTCACAACTGCATATAAATAAAGAGGTGTTTTTCTGGACACCATGTACAGACTGTGCACCGAGGACTTGCTGATGAAAAGGCCTTACAGAAAAGTCTTCTGAGGATTAAAAATAAAGTCAGCTACACAAGGAAGAATAATTTCTTTGAATTTATTAAAAAGTTTTTACAAGGTTGAATGGAATTTCTCATATCTTAATACAAGAGTATTTTCCAAAGCTTTTTTAAAACATAATACATAGAACAACCTGGATGGATATGTATTTATTATCTGCAAGCTCGTTACACCACAGCTCAAGTTGCTCACTGTCACCTAAGAAGATGAAAATTATGTCACTATATTTCAGTACTAAATCTTTCATTCCTACATAAACAATTCTTCTTTAAACTACAATTACACTTTTGCTATGCTGCATCTTTTACTGAGGAACTGTAACCTTTCTGGGTAAAACAGAGTCAGCTATGTGATACAAAGCCTAATCCTGTAAGAAAAGTACTTAAATTATTTTATCATATGATGGCCTTCAAGGAACCAAGCCAGTTATCTTTCACATGAAAACTCTGTGGGATTGTCCATATTTCCCCAAGGATGCTTCTCCTGCTAATAAAGGGTAACAACACATTACTCTTGCAGGTTGATACCTATCATAGAATAACAGAATGGTTTGGGTTGGAAAGGACCTTAAGATCATCTAGTTCCACCCCCCCTTCCATGGGCAGGGACACCTCACACTAGACCATTTTGTCCAAGGCTCTGTCCAGCCTGGCCTTGAATACTGCCAGGGATGGAGCATTCACAACTTCCCTGGGCAACCCATTCCAGTGCCTCACCACCCTCACAGTAAAGAGCTTCTTCCTTTTCCCTAACCTGAATTTCCCTTGTTTCAGTTTGAACTCATTACCCTTTGTCCTAGAGCTCCAGTAGCTGATGAAGTGTCCCTCTCCAGCATCCTTGTAGGACCCCTTCAGATACTGAGTACTTCTTAACAACATTAACTTTTTTAGCTCTTTTCATCTTCATAACTAAAATGGAAAAACCTAGAGAGCATAAGCATTTGCTAACCCTCTGTTAAGGAGTGGCGTTTCTGAGGCAGTGGATGAATCCCTGCCCTGACAGTAATTTCTGTTAGGGTGTGACTACAAAAACAGTAATCTCTGATCTCAAACCTTGATCTCTGGTTAACTTGGGTTTTGGAAGCAGCACAGGTTGTACTAGCAACAACAACCCAACTAGAACTGCTATCTGTAAAGTACACAGACAGACTCTTCACATTGCATCAGCTCTCATTCCTGTTACAGTACAGCAATCTTTGGGACACGTGTCAGGATTCCTCAATATAGCAGCCAAAGACTGATCCTCTGATACAAACCCACACATTCATCACAAGTATTTCTCTGCTGTACATTAAAGATGCATTTTAATACCCATCATGAAGTTCCAAGACAATATCAAATCTTTCAGAGACAAATACAGAAAAGAATTATCAACTACTAATCCCACTTTGTTACACAAAGAAGAAATTCACACCAACTTGCTACTTAGTGTTCCCAAGTTCCATTGGGCATTTCATACATTACTTTCTACAGAACTATGATTCTAAAGGACTTACAGATTAAGACACTGTAACACTCAAAAAATAAGCAACGTTACCAAAACACAACTGCTTTTGTTAAGCAAAGATGACTTTCTCCCTGTCTCATAGCTGTTCCTTTTTAAAAGGCATCACTTCCAGTGCAGCAAATTTTGCCAGGATTATTTGTCAACGTCTGAAGAATGCATCAGTTAGTAATTGTCAGGTCATACGATAGTCATCACATGCAAGTAGAATCCCAGCCAGTCCCAATATTACCTACTAAAAAAAAAAAAAAAAAAGCAAAAAAACAAGCATAGGGTCCTACAGAAAGATTTAATCTAGCCCAGGCTTTCACCTGAAGTGCCAACAGGTACTGTGGGCTTTGTCACTTTTTAGGTACAGAATTAATGTTTCCTTTCCTGTGAAAGGTACTCAGTTTACGTGTTAAGAGATGTTTTCTTAAGCACCAACTCAGCAAGCAAACGGAGCTCGGGGGAGCAAGATGAACTCTCCACCACACACTTCCCTACAAGTACTTCTAGTGATACCATGGACCTGTACATCGCATTCCAAAGTGTCTCACACTCACCTCAGTGACTCCAGAAACACCCCAACAAAAGGGCTCAATTAAAATTCAGACTGAAGTTTGCGGAGTAGATAAGGGAAGCAGCCAAGCACATAACAACTCAGGGACCTATAAGGAACTGAGCTACCTGTCTTCCTGGCATTCTTCGGAAAAATTTAAGCTTATGTCAATCAGTGAAGTTGCTGCTAAGCCAAAGGGTTTGCTGCTTAGCTATATCCTTTATTACTGTGACAGAGCTCAAAATATCACAGGCCCAAGTCTTCAAAAGGCCTGGCTACCATATTTCCACACAAACTCCTTAGTTCATTTGGTGGGTGCCGGGCACTGACACTTTCACAATTCTGAATTTTTTGTGAAATTTCACAGTTTTGCTGATTGTGAAAACCAGCTATTTGAAGTGAGCAGATGTACACAGCAGCCAACTTCAGTTTTACCTGCCGATGTTGCATTGGGACTGGGTTTAGATGAATTTGCTGCATTCACATGGCCAGATACAGGTGTTACACTAAGGCATAATCCAACACAAAAGAGGGTACTCAGAGTAAAATGAAATATTCAGCACAAAGCAGAGTAACAGAAATGAGGCCAGAGAAGCCAAGAGACAAGATATTTCTGGTTCTCATGCCACTGTCAATGTAACTACACTAGGGAAAATAAAACGCAAAGAGTGACAATAGCAATGGAGGTCTCCATCAACTGAACCTAGACAGAAAGATCTCCCAGTTCAGAAATACGGTTATTACTTCTGTCCTGTCCCTCGCCATCACAGTATTTGTGCCAATACAACTTGGTCACCATCATAAAAGGCTCTGACACAGTCAACAAGGAAAACCTTATGCTCCACATTATGTGCTGTCCTCTAACCTGGGGCAAAAGCACTATAAGGAAGGCCAAGTGTAACACTGAAAATACTTTTTTTTTTTTCTAGCATTCTAGTACTTCCACAGTCTGTGTTGCTCTTCCAGGACTGCTTCTTAATGCATTAGACCTAGCAATTTAAAAAAAAAAATTGCTAAAACAAAGAATTACTAACGTTTAAAAACACCTGAACATTTTTGTTCCTGGTAGATCAAAGAGGAACCTAGACCTTGGGCTGACAGGGGTTTGGTTTGTTGAAGAGATCACTGCAAACAGTTTTTTTACTATTGACTGTAACTCTGCTGCCGCCGTTCCTTGAGGCCATGGCCTGTGCTCAGATCTGTGATGTACACAACAGTACTGGGTGACTTGAAAGAGCACACAGAGATTTCCTTTCCTGTATCTCCAATCCAAACTTTATCCATCAACAGCCATTATGGTATTATTATTGGATGGGTTTTTAATGTCCTACACAGGAAGAGTTTGGTCTCAGCCCAGCTTCTAGTGAAGGAACACACTTCATAGAAGCCCCTTCTTTAACTGGCCCACCAAGTCATCATTTTTTCCTTTTTAACAGGAAATCTTTTTGTACTGAATTTGATGAGTTTTGGTTTTATGTGTAGGTAAATGCCTAAATTCTGAAGTTCATGGCAATTTGGCACCTTTTTTCATGCTCTTGGGAGATCACCTAGTTCTTTGCCACACCAACCCAAGAAATCACTCCTGTCCCTTTTTTGCATCTGCCCAGTTACAATTGCTTCAGTTAAGCATCCTCCTCCGTGCCTTTCAATCAGAATTACAAAAGGGAAAGAATAAGGAGGGAAGTGGGGGGAAGAAGATACCTTGTATCCGAAGTCAGGCAGTGCAGACTGATCCCAGTGGACAGGACAGGACTGACTGGGAATAGAAGAATCCTTCTGGCTGGTGGCAAACAGACAGAAAATGAGGTGTTAGTAATTTCAGTAACGCTCCAAGCATCTGAAATGGCAGCATCCCCTTTGGCCAATTCCTACATTTACAAATACACAAAATAAGCCGCAAAACCCCTGGGAAACAGCCTCAGTCTGTGAGTTGGGCTTTGCATGCTGCCATTCAATTGTCACAGTCCTCTTTCATTTGTTTTTTTTTTAATGAAAAACTGTCCATCACCAGTTCTGCAGACATGGTACCTGGAGTAACATGTACCCCAAAAAACAGGTGATGCACCAAGCTGGCAATTTGTGATACAGCTTCTGCTAAGCCAAATGGATACGTTTCCTTCCACCAACAGCTCTGCTCTTTGCACAATTACTGCCAACACTGGAAGCCATTTTGCCTTATAATTACTTCTGAAATATGAAGACCCAACAACTTAAAGTGCAACACTTACCCTTTCTTTATCTTCTGCACATCTTCAGAAGACACAAACTTTGGTCGCCTGCAGACCCATCTTCGAGTTTTAGAAGAGGTGTTTGTCTGGGTCATTTCTTGAGGAGAAAAGGCAAGGAAAAAGTCACAAATAAGCCTACAAGATGGGGTCATTAATTAATGACAATTATTCATTAATGAAAAGTGTATATTCATTGTCCATTCTATCTGCTGAAGAATGGTGGCATAAACACTGTGTAAGCTTCCTGTTCTTCCTGTAACTCTTATTTAAGATGCGTCTGTCTTGCTTGCTCCCTTAAGTCATTCATGCTCTTTAAATGTTTTGCCAGTGGCAGGGAAAGATGCTTATTTTTCATTTTTACCATCCACAAGATTAACTTAATTTACTTAAGGTTTACTATGCCTTTATGTGAAGGCTAAGAATCTTTTTTATTTCTGGTCCAGTGTGAGTCTGGAGTGTGTCAAGGAATAAGGGGGAAGGTTACTTTTATAAGGAATTTCCTCTGGGCCATCGCTAGCTCACTTCCAATTTCAGTGAGTAAATCTGGTAGTGTTAGTAAAACAAATAATGGCTTCTAAAAGCTGGGATAGCTTGCAAGTTGACCTTTGTAAAGCACTTCATAGTTGTAAACAAGAATCTTTAAAATGAGTACCTTTAAAATTGAGCTCGTACTTATACAAGCCAGCCTGGAAAAACACGGTGCCATCTGGATCTCCTAGATACAAATTCTCAATAACAGCAGAAGATGGTGAGCTCGCACTATCCCCTTCTCCCTTTGTGGGGAAAAAAATGAGAAAAAAAGAGAAAGAAGAGTAATGAGCAAACATAGTCAGGACTAAGCCCTGGATGACTAGTTTGGGTAGAGGGAGAAAAGACACAAAGAGTAGGATGAAAAGGAATCTACATTAAGTCTAAAATCTCCCCCGCAACAAACTGGCATAGTCAGCAGACCCTAAATCTGCTCCATGACACCAGGGTTAAACCACAATGCAAGTATAATTCTCTAAAGTACAAAAACAATGTACAACATGCAAAAAGTTCATACTGAACCTCACTGTAAGGAGATAAGGCACGTTCCCTCCCCACAGCCTATCATCATTTCATCACATCTGTTACGAATATCTGTAGCTTTACTGCCTTGACACTGTAACATTCAAGCATAAGTATTTACTTAACTAATCCTGCTGAGTAAAAGGGAAGAGGGGAAAGAGGCTCCACACACTTCTTCAGAAGTGATTCATAGAATCATAGATTCCTTGCACAGGGTGTGGAGTCACCTGTTCTCCATATTCAATCCACTGGCCTTTGTCATTCTTCCAATACCAAAGCCACTGCGTGGTCAATACAAATGTGGGTTTTGTAACTGATGATGGTGTAGAAAGGCGTCGAAGTGGAGAAGAGCAGCAGGTCATTGTCTGGAAATCAATGTTCTTACCCGCTATACTGTAAGGACAAGATCAGGTGTTTTGTAGTTAACAGTATATATATTATCCTTTAATCCCCAATTTAACATGGTGGAATTTTCTTTAATATAACGTGACTGCCTGAACTTAATAGGCCTGAAATACGAATATTTCTCACAAGCTGTGTGGCAGCTCTGGAAACTGTTTCCAAGCTTCAGAAGTGAACTATGGCCTGTGAGACACCGAATGCCAACTCAACCACTAGCCACATGCTGCACTGCCAGCTTCACAGACAGTCTGGGGCTACACATACAATGTGGCAAACAGTACTTCTGAAATAAGTATCACATTTAGTTTTTCTCAGTGCAAAAATGGAAGTTGGTAAGTACCTGCCTGAATCTGCCAGTAAACACCTGCAGCGTACCAGCTTTGTTCTTAATGTGGCTACAGAGGATGCAGTCCCAGCTGCGAGGCATTCATCACTGGAGCCACCTGGGCTCTTACTCTTGGGAGGCTTGAAAAATTAACTCTCGGGCAAAAAGACTTTGAAAGCAGCCTCCTGTTGGGAATCTTGCTTGTGATTTGTACCATCCACAGCCTAATTGAGATGCAAATCTAAATCATCTGCTGTCAGAAGAGGCACAGGTCAAAATGTCTATACCATTTTACTGAGGCCAAACTTGGGGTCCCCTACAAATCCATGTGGCTCACACGGGGGCTTTCAGCAAGGAGTTAAAGGAAAAATGCACTCTCTTAAAAAAAAAAAAACAAACAAGATTGGCTGCTTACGCAAAGGGCCATTTAATAAATTCCTCTAGGCATATTATAGATACTATTAAATTATTATGGATACTGGCTGTATTGGGAAAGGAATAGCCATAGAGAAGGACCATCTCTGAACTGCTGTTAAAAGGCACAACTTAAATTATTATAAAGTATGATTCATTATCTGAAACACTAATATTTTAAGCACTGAATTCCATCCACTTCTTTTTACCTTCGAGTTTTAAATGCAAGAGTTTTGTTACGTTTAGAAGACAAAAATGGGGTGATAGTTCCATGCAATCACTTTTACTTTTCTTTTTAAGGAGAAGAATGCTCATTTGTATATCTTGCAGATCTTGAGCATCTCAGTAAACAAAAGTTATGGATGTCAAACACCTTTAGGAAGAAAACAAAATGGTCATCCTCCAGGGCTCAACTACAGTACTCTAGCAATCAGTGCAGCATCACTATACCTGCTAGTCTGTGGGTCACAATAGGCCTTTTCAACTTCCTCCATCATGGCGAGGTCATTCCAGGTCACCCCATTATATACCTGCCATCGATAGGGCAAGTGGTAATGAACAAATTTGCATTTATCTGTAATGAGATCAGACACAGTCAAGAGTGCTGCAATCCTAACAGTGAGACAAGGCAGGGTGGGGAGGGAAGGAACAAGCTTTTTTTTCTTTTTTACACTCTTGGCTTTATCTCCTGGACTTTGGTATGAGCAATAAAGACAGAATGCTGAAAATAGAATTTGAACGATAGGAAAAAAAAAAGAAAAAGCAACATAAGCTCTCATACTGCTAAATATATTCCAAAGAAACCACAACCTTCCCTTTGCTGAGACTCAACAATGGCAGCTGGGAGAGCAGTGCCACAGATAGGAAATGTGTGTCCATGGGTCACACCACCACATTTCTCAGCTGTAAAAACTCTAGTCTACACATCACATAAGCATTCAATATATTTGGTTCTCTCTTTCCTTTAGAACATATGGGGTGGTTATCAAAACCTGCATACTTTTTTTTTCAGGCCAAACCCAACGAATGAGGCAGCATAAAGGACTGCAATGCTCCGCAGAACATCCCCCAAAAGACACCCTACACTCACCCCTGAACAGGTAGCATGCTAACCCACTAACGAGACTGCCAGGCACTCTTGGAGCTGTTGCTCTGCTTCTTAGAACATAGGAAGCAGCAATTCTTAACTGTCTTGCATGCAAGACAGTTGCATGCAGCTGTGCTATATACCATTCACACAGGAAGAGGAAGACTTCTGGGACTTTTTAAATCATCTGTTTTCAATGCATGTATGTCTGCATGTTTGAGCTCAGATCTGCTTAACACCCCTGTGCATGTGGCTGGATACAGGCAGAGGCTGCCCTGCAAGCCTCCATGCTGGGAAAAGCTGATGTGCTCCACATCCAGTTATGGACCAAACCTCTTATTTACCACTTTTGAGACAAATGTGGCACAGCAAAGCACCATAACCTCCAACCGTTACTTGAGTTTAGCTATTTGGTGGTCACAATATAGCTGCTTTGAGCCTGACCTCCACAGCCAGCACACAGGTACACCATTATGCAGGTCCAAAGGTTGATAAACTTCAGCCTCAAGCCTCATCCTAAACACGCAGATTCTGAGAAATCTGACACAAGGCTGGAGTAGCAGCTGCACAGACAGAGCCAAAAGGATTTTCAGTATTCATGACCCCTGATGTCTCTGACCACAGAACATATGGAAATTAGCCCTAATTATGAAGACAAGAGTGTCATTCACTTCTTTCTTCCTTCATTTTTGTTAACAGAGCTGGAGTGCTGTTTGTTGGCATACTGTAGACAAAAACCACACTTGGTCTCTCTTGGCCAGATTTCATTTCTATTATCCATAAAATACCCATAAAAGAAATAACTTATTTTTTTAAAGTTCTGTCTCTCTTCAAAGTAATGATTAAGAAAAGGTATTGTCAAGCCCTAAAGTAACTTACTCATCTACATCTCAGAAAAGGAGCTTCTGACAGGAGAGTGGCACCTTTACCAGAACACACACACACTATGGAAATGCTAAATGCACAGAGACATCTCAGACCCATTATCAGCCAACTTACTGTGCATATCCTAAGTGAAAGCAAACACAGTCTGATCTATTTAAGCACCTCTTTTACCAAGATCAGGTGGTCAGAAAAGGAGTAGTCCTTTAGAAAGAGACTGGACAAGCTCAGTTAAAGAAAATCTCATGGTACCTCCTCATAACCAAGGAAGAGCCTAACCTGGGGGTTAAGCAACTGTTCAGGGACAGCCCCCAAATACAGTTGTTATACTTGCAATTTTCCCCAGACCTCTGATATTGGCCACTGCCAGACAGACAATGGACTAGATTTACTTTTAGCTTAGCTGGTAGAACTACTGTTTTCTTAAAACATTTTAACACCTCAGATCACTTTAAAAAGGACTTAAGAGGGAAGAGTATCATTATTATCTGATGTACATAAGATACTGCAGGAGTACAGGATGACCTATTACCTGCTGTCAACGATGACAACGTAAGAAGAGCTCTTAAGTTGATTTAATAGTTACAGAAAGTGTAATATTTAACATCTGAAGAGTGTTTGACACAGAAACACACACAAAGCCTGCCCCCATCAAGAGGGCTGAAATAGGCCATAGATGGATTGCCTAGAGGAGAAAAGGTTTAGAGTACCCACCTGACTTCCCTCTGATTATGTCTGTAATTCTAACAATGCTTATTATTGACTTGGAAACAAAGTAAATGCAAAGGCAAAACTGCCAGTCCATATGGCACCGTTATTGCCATATGAGTGGGGAGTGCCTCTGTAGACCCTGCTCTCCAAAGATAACATTACTTTTTACAAAGCTTACCTTTATGCTTGCAGTACTTCCAGACATAGAACACACATATCTGATCACAGTTATCTTCTTTGTTGCCCTTTGGACCTTTAGCAGAGGAATCACCTTTATCTACAGAAAAGAACACATCAATCCTTATTTGCCCTATCAAAATATAGACCAAGATGCCTAAGACAAAGACACTGCATTTGGTATTTCATCCCAGAAATAACAAGGAGTTGACTGCAATATCCAGGTCAAGTGCTTTCAGGATCCAACTATCCCACATACATGAAGCCCTACCACCTGAGTTAGGGCTTTGTGACTCACCAGTAAACCCCTACAGTGGAAGAAGCCTCAGCAGAAATGGGCAAGGGAAACGTCATGAAGTTCAGAGTTACGCAGGGTATGACTGACCATGGCTACTGCAAAGAAGCTGACTTTTTCTCAACACAAAGGGGACCAAAGGGTGGCCTTTACTGTAGATAAAGGGCTACAACAGCTGAGTGAATCAACTGGCAATATAAATGTTTCTCCCTTAATTAGCCAGACCAGCATGGGGGGAGTGAACACAGAGCTGAGCCCAACATGTGGGGCTAAGCAACTAATAAAAGAACTTCAAAGAGAGCAACAGCCTTGAGCTGGCTTCAGCCTACATATTTGTTCCTAGGGACCGGGAACATTCAGCATCATGACAGTGAGCATATTATACAGACCAGCATGGGAATCACATTGGTATTGACTAAATGTGTATTGCAATTGCTACGTTTTGGCAAGTGTAACTTCACATTTGTATCTTGTTTTCAGTGTATTTTGCATTACTCTGCTGCATTAGAAATCTCATTGTACTGGGCCACGCTAGGATATAGTTAATCTTTCTCATAGCAGCTCATATGATGCTGTGCTTTAGATTTTCAACCACAACAATGCTGATAACACACAGATGCTCTAGCTTCTGTTGAGCAGTTTTTGCACAGCATCAAGGCTTTCTCCGTTTCTCACAGTGAATAGACTGTGGGGTGCACAGTAGGTTAGGAGGGCACACACCTGGGAAGACCTAAACTAAACAAAGAAATATTCCATATAACACTACGCTCAGCAATCAAAGGGAAAAAAGGGTGTTTTAGAAGGGTTAGCTATCTTTTGCTTGGGAACTGGCTGGGTATCAGCCTATCTGTGGGAGGTGGCGATTGCCTTTGCAGCACTTGTTTCCCTTTGTTTTCTTACTTCTTCCACTTACCCTTCACTTTCCCCTCTTCTTGACGCTCAGGTTTTCTTGTTGTTGCTTTCTTTTTTTCCTCTTCCCCTGATCCACCAGTGGTGAAGGGGAAGTGAGCATGTGGCTGTGTGGTGCCCAGCTGCCCGCTGGGGTAGCTCACACCACCCGTGTAATGGCACCTATCTTCAAGTAAGTAAATTTGATATTAGTCATCACACCCTCCATGCACAGAACATCAAAAAAAAAATTGTTCAGAGTACTGGACTCTGACAGGTTTTAAGGACAAGGCCCTTCTGCTCAGGAGGACAGGAGACATAGGAGTTCTTGTTCCCTCACTGGAAGGTAGATCAAGACTACTGCTCAACTGGCAAAGCTATATCCATTCCCTGGGCACAGAAGGCAAGGAAAGATCTCTCTCACACAGTCACAACTCTGTCTCCTTCCCAGGAAACAGAGTGTTAAGAGTACAGAGATCAATCCCAGACTACTCCACATTGTGCTGCACAGTGCTTGGGCAGGTATCTCAACACTCCTGCACAGGCTGTCCAGTATCATGGCTTTCAGCATCTGGTAGAGTAAAGCACAGAAACTGTACTCCAACTACCACAGGGAGCTGTATGAGAGCAGATCCCAAAGAGACCCACTGATCCCAGGACTGAAGGTTAGAAGCAATCCATACCTTCATCTTTACCTCCAGTTCCTGTTGCAGACTGGTGTTGTCTCTGACCAGGTACATGGCTTCTGGGACCTGCACGAGAAGACTGAATGAACAGCACTGCTGGACCAGAAACTGAGCTAGCTGGTAACATCCCAATTTGTGTGTCGAGGATGATGTTTCTTAAAACTTACTTTTCCCCTTCTTCAGTTCCTTGTTGAACTCCATATGCTTGTGATTACATATAGTCTGCATGTTTGAAGCTATCTTCACATCAATGCCTCCAGTTTCCAACACTTCCAATGAATTGGTATCCAAGAGGTTATGGGACCTCTTGCACCAAAAAAATCTACATTCCCCTTTGAGAAAGTGTCGACAAATATGAAGCCTGTTGCAGTTATTTTGCTGGCTGCAGTTACTATCCTTTCTGTTGTAAAGTTGGCAGATCTAGAAGTGGGGAGGACAGACGAAGTATGAAATGGAATCAGTAATTCCACTAGAATCACATTAGAATCAGTAAGTTTTTTCTTTCTTCTGTAGACATGCAGTTTTAACAGCAGAAATACAGTAACAGAAAGGCATGTTTTCATTGTGACTTTTTTAATCTAGGCAGATTTCTTGTACGGAAGAGCAGGCATTTTCAGCTGACTCATGCATTTCCACTTTTGAAGTTGTGCATAAGTGGGGTTTGGTTTTTGGTTTTGTTTTTTTTCTTTCCCCCCACCAAGAAAAGCCAATCCAACAAACATGCATTCTCGGCACTCCTAAACAAGACAATCACGTAACAACTGAGTGGTTTACAGCTATTCTATTAAAAAACAAACCAACTCCTGCAGACACCAAGGTGAGAAGAAAGAACAAGGGGAGGTGCTCAAGGTACCTGAGCAGAGATGCTGCTGCAGGGCCCAGGACTGTGTCCAGATGGATTTTGAGTATCTCCCAGTGGGGAAACCCCACAACCTCTCTGGGAAACCTGTGTCAGTGCTCAGTCACCCTCCGAGTAAAAAAAAGGGAATTTTTTTCCTGTGTTTCAGTCTGTGCCCATCACCTCTGGTTCTGGGCACCACTGAGGAAAAAAAATCAGTTCTGTGCTTTTTACACACTCCCCTTAAGGTGTTTGTAAACACTAATGAGATGAGATTCCCCTGAGCCTTCACTTCTCCAAGCTAAACAGACCCAGCTCCCACAAACACAGCACACACACAGAGACAGTCAGCACTTCAAAACAACAAAATGGGCTTTCACACCCCTTTCCCCAGCTCTCAGGTTTATGAATGGCCTGCATGATCACTGTCTTCTGCTGTTTTACTTCATAATAGTTTAGGTGCTCAATTAGAGGTAATCAACAATGCCTGACAGCAGTGAAGTCTGAACAGAGCTATAGAAAAGAGCTTAGAATAATACCAGTCAGTGATGGTTGCCAGTCTCTGGTCATTACCAGGACTAATTAAACAAGTAACACAAGTTTTAGATGCAGCTGAGCAGAGAGAGATTTTGTTAATCTTCCTTGCTCATCGCCACCATGCTCCTTGAACCTGCCAGCACAACATATTTTAAAACACTACCAAAAAGCAAGAAAGGATCTATTTCATCAAAGCCCCACACTGTCACAGCAGGGAATAAGAAAGCAGCAGAAGTATTAGGCCAACAGGTCTGTTGAGATTATAACCTCCAAGAAACAAAGGTAACAGGAAGTACTCTGGTAATTTCTTAACCAGGAACAGCTGTAGCCAGAACAGGATATTCTTGGCTCTGAAACACATACCTTGAAGATAGCATTGCCCTTATGCACGCATGCAGAACCACAATGGATTGTTAGGCAAATTTATCAAAACCAGTTACTTGCATACAAAGAAAGAAAAAAAAAGTGCCTTATAAAAAATCAGTGTACAAAAATTCAGTGCACTTTAGAAGGGGGAGATTTCAGACAAAACTGACTGCACTCATTTGGTTGTTTTCTCACAGATTTTTCTCACTCCCCTATACCCTCGAGCACCAAAATGTGCAGGCCTATATAGGCTGGAAAAGGGAAGGGGCCCTTGCTTCCTGGTCTCCATCACATAGGCCTTTTGTCCTGTAAGCACAAACAGTTATTGTGATCTTTCACCTCCATCTTGTTTACCTCACTGTAAATCTCTGGTGAAGCTGCTGATGTTTTTTGCTTGCTTGTTTGGAGTACCCTTATAGCTATCCTGTTGGGATAACAGGAGTAGCACACAAAACAGGCCATAGCCTTGTTGTCCAATTCCTACTGTCAGACAGCAGGTCATCTGCTGACAAGTCACAGATGACACAGCTTTATCCAGGTGTGACCTTTCTGGTATTTACATAAGCAACACATTCCTCAGCATTTAGCATTTTTATTGCTGTTATTTTTTTCATTATAAGTATTTGGCACTTTCACAACCCCGGCTCTATGTTGTTTCTTCCAGTGCTTTCACACCCAGCCATTCCCATTCCTACTTCATTCACACTAATCTTGGCATTACTGTTACATAGCATAATAGCTTGAAATTGACATCAGAACTCCACATTCTCTCGGCCCCTCTCCCATTCCAAATGGACAAAAGCTTCTCTTAAGAAATCAGTACAACTCACATCAGGGAGGAAGAAAGGGTCATTTTGGAGAAGCAGGACTCGCAGCTCATTCTCATCAAGGCTAGACAACTCATGGGACTTTAGAACTTTTTTGTTCTCATCATTGATGATGTCGTGCGGGTACTTACAAGATCTGCAGGAAAACACACAGAAATATCAGTGGTTACTTCTTCAGTCAAGCTGATGTAAAGAACCACCTCGGATAATATGCAACCTGGGAAAAGCCATGGAGAGAAAGGTAATTTGGCAAAAGCCGCTGTGAACATTCAGATGGTGTCTGTAATTATGTAGAGAATGGATCAAACAGCATAACAACTGTGAAATACAGTAGTGTTACTATCCCCATTTTAAACACTGATGTGGCCAGACCACTTTTAAGGAAGCTAGCAGCAGAGTCTGCCTACTCCACGCTTTCTTTCCCCTCTGTAAGAGGCAAGTCAAGTCACACGACACAAACAGCTAGAAAGCAAGCTAATTTTAGAGGAATACATCAACAGAGGAAGTTGAAATACCCTTATGTTTGTGAAGTAAAAAGGTTGTCTCAGGGTTGGCATGTAAAGAAAGATGCAAGAGTCGGAGAGTGCAAAACAAAGAGACAGTGAAACTGAAAACAACACACTTTGTTATGTCTGCTGGGTGGGAATTTAAACAAACAAACCCCCCCAAACACAAACAACAAACCCAAAGGAAGTTCATTAACTCCAAAGTTTCGGATAAAGAAGCAATTAAACAACAGTAACAAAGATGCTGGTAGCATTTACTAACCCAAGAGAAATGTCTGAAGTGGGTATGAATTAGAGATTGCAGGACTTTTTGCATTTATTTGAAAAGATAATGCAATCAATAAGAGGAGAAAGAGTCAACCTATGCATTAATTCAGTGCAGTAAAATACAGCTTCCTAATGTCTTGCTCTTCAAAAGCATTTGATACAGCCTTTAGGCTAGATACACTCAACCACTAAAAGTACCTGTGAATGCATCAGACCCAAGCCTCTGTTTCCTTTATTATTTTAACCTCCCAGTTACCTTCTGAAACTCTTCTCACAAAAGCTTTTTTACGTCATGTTGTGCCTGATCCAACCCTTCTGTACAGACCCTTGGGTAGCCAGTTCGCCCCTGATCACCACTACCTGTTGGACTCATTGCATTGTAAGTTAATAAATAAAAATATATACATATAATACATAATAATAATATAATATTATAGTATAGTATAGTATAATATAATAAATAATAATAAATGCAAAGCCTGAAGGGCAGAAGTGTGCCATCTTTGGTCCTAAGAATATTAGATTCTGTAGGCACTTGATTAATGGCTATGAATGTAAGTGAGCTATCTGTAGCTCAGGTGAGAGCCATCACCAGCATTCCTCCACAGAGAACTTCAGATTCCACTAGTTACACAGTGAGCTGCATCACTTGAGCACACAGTTGTAAGTCAAAGGTTGAAACAGTCCACAAAGACAGTGATAACTAATCAGCTGAGTTTAATAATACATTTAGAAAAAGCAGTGAAAAGTTACTTGCCAGGCACAAGTTAAGAACAGGTTTAATGGGATTAAAATCCTAATCCCACCAAGTAAGAGGACCCCCGTATTTGCACTGACATTTTTATTTCAAGAGATTCAAAAACAAAAAGGGTGCAAGATCTGGAAGCAGGGGCAGATTTTACCTTACCTGTTAAAAATACTCTCCGTCTTGATCCATGTTGTCCTTCTAGCAGTACTTCTGCATTTCATTTTAATCAACCTCCCTCCCCATGAAGGCCATACTCTTTGTTTTAATAATCATTAATGCATACAAAAGTGACTTTAAATACTTGGTGCTATTTGAGAGGACAGAATCATTTATCATTATGAAGGGTGTCACCTCACTACACATTTTAGTTCCCCTCAACTCACCCAGCACAAGTGCCTACATGCACTTGAAAGCATTTCTACCAGCGGGTCACGTCGAAGGTTATTGTACTGCCAGTGATGTGAGAAACGGTAAGAAAGTTTCAGCGTCCTAACCCTTTGCTAGTACCACTCTGAGACATACATAGCCTTTCCCCTCCGTGCTCCTCAGATCCCAGTGCACTCTGAGCTGGTTTGCTGGGACAAAAGAGGAAAAATCTGGTGGTTATCAACACAATACTGCAACAGCACAAGGCCTGGAGGGCTTAAACTCTTCTAACCAGAGCTCACTGTTGCCATTGACTGTCACTGAAAAGCTTCTGGGTCGCACTTCTGCCCTGTTTTATTTGTTTCATTTATCTTTTTTTTTAACCCTTGGCCCGCCAGGCCTACGCTTCTTCCTGTGGGTCCTCCATATATACAGGATCAATGTGCAAGGGAACTCAAATGATGACTCGCACAGACAACGATGTAAGCAGAGCAGCAACTTACGTTGGTAACTTTATAGCTTAAAACCAGCTAGCACTTCAAGGGTTTGAGCGGTGGGTGTGACAGGCAGGAGGCTTTAACAAACAAAAAGTCGTAATACTGGAAATACCAGTATTTTCCAATAGGAAAATCACAACCCACCGCAGTCACTTTGAAAGTGACCAAATGTAAAAATATATAGAGTATACAAACGGGTTTAACAGCGAGACACAACAAGAAGCAGCGAGAAACGCGCGGTACGAGGCTGTACCCGAGGCGGGGACCGGAAAAGACCCTGGGCCAGTCTCGACGGCGGCCGGTTCCGTGAGAAGCCCACCGGGGTCGGATGCATATGAGGAGGGTCCCCCGTGCCCCGCCCTTGGCGAGGGCTGCCTGCCCCGGGGGCTCTCACCTGGACCCCAGGTTGCACTTGCCCATGAGATGCAGCTTGCAGAGATGCAGCCGGTCGCAGCCCCCGCACTCCTTGCGGACGCAGACCCGCACGGCCGACACGGCCAGCACCCACACGCCGTCGCCGTCCCGCTGCACCAGGAACCGCTGGGGACCCACTGCCGACAGCGTCTCCTCCAGCTGCTGCGCCGAGAGACCGACGTGCTGCTGCAGGTCTCTCAGCGCCAGCCGCCCACCGTGCGCGCACAGGGTCTTGGTGAGGAAGCTGCACACCGACGGGTCACTCATCGTTCCCCTTTCGCTCTAACTCGACGGGTCCGGAGGAGAAAAAACTAAGAAGCTAAGCGGGGCGGGGCGGATCTGCGCGGCTGCCGCCCCGCCGGCAGCACCGGGAATCGAAACCGAAGGTTTGGGGCGGAGCCCGCAGCCGAAGGCAGAGCCGAGGGGAAAAGCGGGAAGCACGCACTGAACACCACTCAGGAGAGAGACGAGAGGTGAGAGCTCGTTGGAAGGGATGTGTGGCTTCCGGCTTAGGGCAACCTGGTCTAGTTTAAGGTGTCCCTGCCAATGGCAGGGGGTTGGAGCTGGATGAGCTTTAAGGTCCCGTCCAACCCAAACCATTCCACGATATCAAGTATGGATCCCAGCTAGTCTCTCTCAAGGTGTGTACCTAGAGGAGAGCGCCAGCGTCCACTGAAGGATTTCCTTGTCTCCCTCCTAACTTCCCTCTCTACCTATACATGACAGTAATGTACAGAGCATTAAGCCTATAATGTAGGAACAAAACTTGGGACCCCCAAACAATTCTAGTACTTATGTAGCAATGCCATTACTTCTCTTTCTTCCAGATGGGCAGTCAGCTGCTGATCAATGCTGGTTGCAGCAGTGGGTGTCCTGGCAGGGGGTGTGAAGCAGAGAAGTGACTGACTGGTTCCCATTAATGCTGAAGGAGGGCCTGTGAGTGCGTGAGGAAGCATGGCAAATGCTGAATCGGAAAGATGGGGGTAGGGCTGAGTACTAAATCCATCTGAGATGAGCTTCAATACTTAAACTCTTCAGCAGTGCAAGTTTAAGGAACAGTAAGTATCAACTGCTCCCTCTGAATCAGGAAGTTAGCCTTGAAAATAAAATCAATGATGGCCTGTGTTGCCTGGTGCAAATGCCTGATTTGAAAGGCATGTGAAACTACATAGACGCAGTCACGATCACTGTTTAGGTCATAGAAAGAGAACCACCTCAAGGAATGGGACCGATCTGTCACAGTCTGCGGGTTTGTTGAAGGAAAGGCTATGGAAGGTCATAGTTCCCCATATTTGCCCTGTTGCTATGAAACTTGAACAAATAATTTTTTTTAAAGCAATAGAAAAGGAGAGGTAAAAGAAGAATTTTGCCTCATCAGTTCTAGCTTTAAAAAACTAAATTGATAGTTCTAGGCTGGTTTATGTTCTAGGCATGCATATGTGCGCTCTTGGTTGTCAACAGGTCGAGGATGATAAAACGTCAGATCTGTGCTTGATGTAGTTTCAGGACTGACTGATAAGGTAGAAAATTATTCGAACAGTGAATCAGCACAGTACTGCCAACTCCAGGCAGCAGAAGAAAATCATTAATCAGGCAAACCTTTCAGTCATTTGCTTATATTTATGTCTTCTGCTTTTTCAGCCAGTTCCGGTGAGAACATGCATTTGTGCCTTAACCCACTCTGAAAACGGAACTATGTGGTGGGCGGAGCTTTACTGTTAGAGCAGGAAAGGAAAGTGAAGTACTGCAAGCAGAAAAAAGATGCACACGCAGCCTCGGCAAGCATGTTCTATTCTACACTTAAATGCACTTAAGAAGGGCTTTGGATCAGTTCAGAGTGAAAGCAAACTAAGAAACATCACTGGATTTATTCTGGGTTTTGGTATAATGTTTTGCAAATACAAATGCCCCAAATACTGGACTTCCTTACCAACTTCAAACAGAACCTACTTATGTGAAACACAACTAGGTGAGACAGAAGGGACCGCTCTATCAAGGAGTCACAAATTGGTATTATTTTCACAGTGCAGTGAGTGATTCTGGTCTTAAATATCAAGCAATTTGCTTAAAAAGTTAGAAAACATGGAAAAAGTGGCTGGGTTGATGCAACCTCTTGTTGCTGCTAAAAATGTCCCTGTACATCTTTCTCTCTGGTGTCCTCTACTTCCAGCTGTAATGTTTGCTTGTTTGCCCTGGCTCTGGTATTCACCTGACTTCTTAGTAAGCCAAATCAGCTTTCAGAGAATTGAAACTGAAGTATTGATTGGTATGAGCAAAGTCTGAATGGAAATGGGAATGGGTGTGTGTAAGCACCAGCAGAAATAGCAGAACAAAGGTTAAAAGAATGGCCTGTATTGGTAACTAAAGACACAGTTTAAGGCAGTAAAATTGGGAAAGACATGATTTCTCTCAAACCAGGAAGACCTACACTCTAGAATAGACTTGTCTGAAGAAAACCCTGCCATCTGGCAGCTGGACATGGCGGGAAGATACAGAACATCACAAAGGACATTTCTTTTCCTGTTGGTCCGACTGGAAGCAGACCACAGCCTCAGAAACTCAAAATGAAGAAACACAGATAACAGGTAAATGAGTTGCCTGAAGTGTGTGAAAGCAGAAGTAGCCAGACTGTAAAGCACAAGGATGCCACGATAGTAAGTGTTGGATCCCAGGTAGCTTTCCTACCCTCTGTTAGGCATAAAAGACCTGTCCAAGGCAGTTTGCCACTGCCAATGAAGAAAAACCCAAGAGATGCCATTAGGGTGTGATAGTTGGTGCCTATCTTCCTTTACACTGTATGTCACATAGATCCTGGCCAGACATGTTGGGCACATGCACCTCAGTGCTTGTGAGTATGGGGTTTGACGGCGTGAATGAAGTTGAGTAAATTGAATGAATGTGCATGAAGTGGGGGAATTGAGTAAAATGAATGCACACCTAAACACAACTGCATTGCCAGTGAAGACCAGTGTTCCCAGGACACAGCTCTGTGACTGTCCTGGGGTGGACAATCCTGTCCAGTTTAACTCCACAGAGTATGGGCTCCTATAGCAAGCCTCTGTTCTTCATTTTCTTCATTAGCAAAAGGGTCTTTCCTGAAACCCAAAACCTCTTTCCCACTCTGTTCTGCAGCTCCCCAGCTGTCTTCCCTTATCACTCTTTCTCTACAGCCAAGGAGGTTGTAGTGAGGTGAGTGCTGTGCTCTTCTCCCAATCAGCAAGCGATAGGACAAGAGAAAATAGCCTCAAGCTGCTCCAGGGGAAGTTTAGATTGGAAATTAGGAAAAATTTCTTCACCAAAAGGGGTGCCAAGCACTGGAACAGGCTTCCCAGGGAAATGGTTGAGTCACCATCTCAGGAGGTATTGTAGATGTGTAGATGTGGGATATGGTTCAGTGGTGGACTTGGCAGTGTTAGGCTTGTTGGTGGACTTGGTGATCTTAAAGGTCCTTTTTCCAGCCTAAATAATTCTGTGATCCCATGTGAAAATGGTGCTTAAACTTCTTATTGAAAACCTTGATGACAGAACAGAGCATACTCTCAGCACAACTGCAGATGGCACCAAGTTGGAAGTAGTTTCAGTAAGCTGAAGGGCATGGCTGCTATTCAGAGGGGACCTAGACAAGCTGGAGAGGTGGGTTGACAGGAACCTCATCAAGTTCAATAAAAGTAAATGCAAGTCCTGCACCTGGAATTGAATAATGCCATGCAATAATGCAGGCTGTGGCAGTGTCTGGGAAGATCTACAGAAAAAGACCTGGAAGTCCTGGTGAACAATTGGTGACCAGGAGCTAGCAATGTGCTCTTGTGGTAAAGAAGCCCACCAGTGCCCTGGCATGGGAATAACATGAGACCACCAAGCTGGCTGAGTCTCTGGCACATGATGGATGAGGAGAGGCTGAGAGGGCCGGGTCTCTCCAGCTTGGAGAAGGCAAAGGGGAGACCTTATTGCTCTTTACAACTACATGATTGTGGGATGAAGAGAAGACAGAGCTAGACTTCCCTCTAAGGTGCACAGGGAAAGGATGAGCAGCAAAAAGCACAAGTTGCAATATGACAAATTCAATTTAGATATTAGGCTTCTTATTTTCATGTTTGGTGGTTGTTTGTTTGTTTTGGTTGGTTAGTTGGTTGTTTTTTTTTAAACTCGAGTGTCAGATTTGGCAAAGGTATGCAATAGGATGTATGTTGGATCTTTCTCCTGAGGAAAGGAGGGTCTCTCTTTAAGCATGTTTTACACATGTGCATTTGTAAACCAAATCCAGCAGCTAATTCCTTCACAGTACACTTGTAAATATTTTTTCTGTGGGAATGCAGTAACATAGGAGCATTGCACTTCAGTTATTATATCACTATGTCGTGGTTTAAACCCAGTCAGGTAATTCGTTCGCTCACTTCCCCCACTTTCTTTCCCTCCCCCTGCTCCCGGAGGGACAGAGAGGAGAATCAAAAAAGAATGCAACTCCCACGGGTTGAGATAAGAACAGTTTAGTAACTAAGGTATAACACAAATCACTACTGCTACCACCAGTAATAATAATGATAAAGGAAATAACAAGAGAAGAGAATACAACACCTCAGCACCAGCTGACCAATAACTCGCCCCCCAGGCCCGACCAAGCACCGACCGATACCTCCTCCAACCCTGCAGACTCCCAGCCCTTCCGGCTCACTCCCAGTTACCTCCTGGGCATGACGTGCTGTGGTATGGAATACCTCTTTGGTCAGTTTGGGTCAGGTGTCCTGTCTCTGCTTCCTCCCAGCTTCCCCTCCTCCCTGGCATAGCATGAGGCTCACAAAGTCCTTGGCCAAACCAAAACATCTCTATCAGCTCTGTTCCCGAGCCGAAAGTCAAAACACTGCACTGCACCAGCTACCAAGGAGGAGAAACATGACTGCTACTGCTGAACCCAGGACACACTATAAGGCATGGTGCTGTCAAAGAGCAAACCTTTAGAGATCTTCGAAAACGCACCCCATTGTGCTACTGCCTTTGAAGAGCAACTGATGTTAAACATCTCCAGAAACTTGTACAAGCTCTACAAGGTTGACTGCGCTTGCAGCTTCATTTGCTCTCAGTTCAGCACCCAAATGTACAACTTTAACAAGATAACTTGTCAGCTGTTGACCTCTGCAGATCCTTCAGCTCAACGTTTCTCAAACAAAACTGGTTTCTGTCTGTCTAGCCATCAGTAAGTGATATAAGCAAGAGTATCTTAACTCATTCCTTTGACTAGGTGATCTATCCATTCCCTCTGTTATGCAGTACTCTTCCTGCAGCTGTGACTGCACGGTTAAATGTGCCAGTCAGGGCGCTGGCAGCATTCACTCGCCCCCCTGGGAAGCCGGGATGCCTGCACTCTTGGCCTACACTTAATAAGCAGCTGTGTGGCCTTGAGCGGAGTTCTGTGAGACAAAGCTGGCAGGCGTTTCTGTGGGAGCTGCCCCTCTTCTCATGGGAACTATGCTTAAGCTGAGAGTCCTGTCCCTCATCCCACCTGCTCTGGGCTGCAGCTGCCTCGCAGCCGTGCATGTGCCTGGCCGCTGGCAAGTGGTGGGAATGGTTGGTGGCTGCTCACAGGGCTACTGCTTCCCTTGCTCTCCTGCTGCTGCACTGCACTGCACTGCAGGCATCAGGGAGCAGCAGGAATGGATGGGGCTGATGGCATGGCACAGTAGTGAGGTGAGCCAGTCATGAGTGACGCTACCAACAGGGACCCAGAATAGCAAGCCCAGGTTGGGATCAGGGCTGGAGACATCAGTCAAGATCAAACAAAGCTCAGGGCAGGTGACGGGGCACGTTCAAGTTCACGCTGGGAAGCAGTCACTCAGTGCGGGTCAGGGCTAGACTGGCAAAAGTCTAAGGCTGAGCGTAGGTGTGTTTGTTGCCCAGCTGCAGCCCAGCACTGGCAGGGACCGGCAGTAAAGCTTCAGCTTCAGAGCAGCTCCCAAGGGAAAGGAAGGGCAGGCCCTCATGTCTTGCTTTCTTCACAACAGCTCTGATCGACAAAGGAGCTGGCTTTGGACTCCGCCAGGTAAACTTTCCTGTGACCAACCAAATGCCTGCAATACCAGGATGCTGTGGCTAGTAACTTTGTGCATAGCGGTTCTGTGCCAGAAATCTGTGCCATTGTCATGGCCTCACACTATAACATAACGTGAGAATCTCTGTTGCTGCCACTCGTTGCTTACTCCAAAGCTACTTTTGCTCCTTTGGCATTGCTCAAGGCTTATGTTTGCCTTGAGGTCTTGATTAACATTGCTTGTATTTTCTTGAATAGCTTTCCAGAAAGCCCAGATCCACCTTCCTTCGGCAGCCAGCGACATGACCAAGCTTTGAGCCTGAAGCAACCCAGCCGTCCCCCTTCTTGCATGTATTGGAGGAGCAAGAACATGACCCATCTGGCTACTGCTGATGCCTCAGAACAACACAGGAGGGTGGTGGTCTTAGTAACTGCAGCTTTTATGGGTTTGGACCAACAGTCAGCATTGAAAATAAACCAGATTTAGGACAGTGGATCACCACTAAGCTATTCAGGGACATTCTTCCATTGTGAAGACTGAACCTGTTCTGCTGAGGGCTCCCAGGCTGGATTTGGTCCATGGGTGCTTCCATCAAATCCACTACTTTTTGTTCTTGAAAGGCTTCCTACTCCCTCTCTCCCATGCTTTGGAACATCTCCTGTGCCTGACAGAGCCTTGTCACTGTGCCTGTGCTAGGCTTTGATAACTAAGAGCCATAATGTCCACCATGGCTCTTCAGTGCATCTGCAGCAAGGAAAAAAGGAAGGTGTACCCCATACAAAATAAAGTCCTGATGAAAAACCAAGCAAAAGAGGAAAATTTAACCGTCTGGCCCCAACGCACGAGGCTCATCAGGTGCTGTGGCAGTCACACTTGTTCTTTACTTTTCAGTTTTGTTTTGTTTTTTTAATAGAAGAGGGTCTTCTTTTCAGTAATCTCAACTTTCCACAAAAGTCAGCCTGCTGTCAAGCAAAACTTACACTTTCTGAGATGGTTAGTAGGGTCAGCAACCACCAAACCCAGTTCTGACGTAGTTTTCAGCCACCCCCCTGGTTGTACTAGCAGGAAGTCCCAGATTGAAAGCTTCTTTTGCAGACCAGCCAAGTCTGGCACTAAATCACTCCAGCCTTACCTAGTGGGTGGGAGATTACGGCTACCCAGAGTTAGTAACAAAGTCCTATCCCTTTGCTAGGGTGACCATTCCTACAAGCACTGCAGAATTTGGAGTCACTGTAGCTAAAACTCTGCTTTGTCAGCAAAGTCTGTGCAAATTTAAGCCCATGATTCACAGGGAAATCTGTTCAGAAATCTCTGGCTTGCTTTTGAACTACTTTGAGTCTCTGTTCTTGTTGGGTTCATGGTGGAAGAGAATTTTAATAGCTGTCTTTAGAGACCTTGATTTCTTCACTGCATACCAACCAGTCTTTACATTCACCTGTTCATTTCTCTCTGGAGAGCTTCTTTCTTGTCAGCTGTGTGTTAGTCCAGTCTTTGCTATAGGCGAGCCAGTTAAGGCCAGGGCCATCGAACATCAATTAGTCAAACAAACATGTGAGGATGGAGGCATGGACCCAGAGGTAGAGTGCAAGCTGGATCGTTTATTGCAAAGATTACCTGATATTTATATGCTTCAAAGCAATTAGCCAAGCACATCTGTGTTTGCCTTGCAGTTACATCAGGTGAAAGGTCTATCTGATTTTCCTATCGACATCCTCTTTCCAGTTCCGACGTCCTTGTTCCTTGCCAGTTCCAACATCTTCCAAGTACCAATCAGGGACAGGTCACTCTTAATTGCCTGCTGTAGTTCCTCCTTCCCATGGTTACTCTTAATTGCCAGCTGTAGTTTCTCCTCCCCATGGTCTCTGACAGCTTTGATACATTCCAACCCCCACAGTTCCCCCTTCTTGTTTTTGCAATGCAGTATACACATGTCTTTCAAAAGCTTGGGATAACATTCTCTGCATACATTGTAATAAGCAAAGTACAACGTATATGATGCCAAAGAGAGCAAGCAAAAAGATCATTCCTCCCTTAACCAAAGTCAATAGCCACCCAGTTATACCCCAATCAGAGAAAAGTGATGATAACCAATCTTTATCATCCTCCCTTAACTTCATTACACTGTCTTGTAATTTACGGATACTTTCATGTATGGATTCTGAATGGTCTGACAAATTCATACAACACATTCCTTCCAAAATTTCACACCCATGTCCATGTGCTAAGAGGAGAAAATCGATTGCTGCTCTATTTTGCAAAGTCGTGTGTCTTATAGAGTCAACGTCAGTGAGCAACGCAGAGAGAGCAGATGCTGTAACATTAGTTTGTTTAGCAAGCCAACATCCTAACTTGCCAAAGCTTGAGCGCTAGCTACTCTGGGACCTAAAAATGAGGCAGCTATTATTTCACCTGGGTTCCAAAAATTTACTTTGTCATTGCAGCTCGGTTGAAAAGTGTGCTTTGACCTTCGAGAACGCAATCTTCGTTTATTTATTATCATAGTGTTATTAGAGATAAACATGCCTAAGGTCCCTACTGCACATGAGCCATCCTTTATATGGGATAGCACCCTTTGCCAGGCCTGATCTTGTGGCAGCTGAGGCATGGACTCTGTTTCTGGATACAGACGAAATCTGTTATTGAGTGAGCTTACAGGTTTTTATAGTATTCTGCTTAGAGGTTAGTAGCGGTTAGTTCTTTTGGTACTTTTCCATCACAAAACAATCTTATTGATCACGCACTCTTTCAGCCAACCACATTACTGTCCACTCGCCTTTGCTTGAGTAATTATTTCTAAACATAGTTCTCTGCTATCACTACTCATTACAATCTCACTTCCACTTCCCCTTGACTACACATTCTTTATCTTGTCTTAAGCATCCTCCTGTTTCCAAATTTACAGTCCTCAGAAATCATCTTTATGCTTTCTTTGGTTCCACCCCATGTTCTTTCTCCAGCTCTTCCTAACTTGTCCCGTTCAGTTCTTCCAAGGTTTGTGGCTGATAGGAGTCCAGATGTCCGGGCTCCCGTCCAGGTCTACTGGTGCAGCTTCTTGTGCAGCATTCCCCTCATCTCTCCCTTCTTTATAAACTAACAAAACATTGTTAATAAACTTAGCAAACAAACGAATTATACAAGCAATTAAACAAGGAACTGTGATTAAAATATATAAAAAGATTTTTACACAGGCTACTGCGATTTTAATATCTTTCAACCATGCACTGCTGCCCTATTCTGACAGCAAACTTTCTAGCCAATTCCAGCTACTCTCCACTTGCAACATCTGAAGTCTGTCCTTTAGTTTTTGAATTACATCATGGACAGACCCAGAATGATTGGACAGGTTCATGTAACACATTCTATCGAAGTCTTTACAACCATGTCCTTGAGCTAATAGCAAAAAATCTGTGGCAGCTCTATTTTGAAGGGTAGCGTGTTTGACTGAATCGTGCTCTGTTAAGAGAGCGTTGCTGTGGGTGAAAGACCTCCGGGGCAGAGGCTGGGTTTCTTCCCGCCTCTCACTGGGAGGAGTGGACCCCGCGCTGCCCCGCAGCGCGCATCTTGGCGGGCGCAGCGCGTACTCGCGTCTGTCGGAGCACAGAAAGGCGAGGGGCGGGCGAGTATCACAGCCCTCTGCCCGCGGGCAGGCAGTGGGGGGGCCCGCCGGAGCCTGCTGATGCCGCCGCCGGGCGAGTGAGTGAGGTCGCTGCAGCGGGGAGGTGGAGGCGGCGCGCCCGTGCTCCGCAGCTCCTTGTCCCGCCGCTGCCACCAGGCGCAGCCCCTCTGCCGGAGGGGAGCTCCCGCCGCAGCCTCCGCTCGGCTCCCTTAGGAGCGCCGTTTTCCTCCCCGCCGTCCAGCCCGCGGTTCGCCTCGTGACGGACGGGATGTGGAGCATTCAGGCTGTGGGGCAGGTTCACAGCACCTTGATTTTCCGCTTCTTTTTTAATGTTTTTCCACATATCATGCGGGTCGGGGGGTAGAGGTGGGGTTCTCTGTCAGGGTCTATTACTCTGGGATCAAAAGGGTCATCTTTGCCTGGCTCATTTGCTGTTGCAGCCCGCCGGCAGATATCTTCCCGCAGATCGATAAGGGCGGGAGGGTGTGTGAGCACCGGCAAGGCTTGTGTCTCATGGCAGCCAATGCCAGGATCAGGCGGGAATAGATCTGGCTCAGTTTCTGGGTCTACTGGCCCCGAGTCGAGAGGATCTGGAGTGTTTTCATAGATTAAGTGCCATATGGCCAGCAATTTGGGGACCGCCACGTCATCCCTTGTAGCTGCGTCCCAAAGGTAGACCCCAGTCTTGTCCCATACTCCCTTCTGATAAATAGTAGTTGATGTCGCCTCTGGGGCATGGGCCGAGGCCCATATTAATAAGTCTTTATCTTCATTTACAGTAACCCCCTTCTTCGCTAGGAATTTTACTAGTACTCTGTACATCGATTTGTGCTCGGGGGATACTGAGTTTCCCATGTTCCCGTTCCCAGCCGCTTACCTCAGTCAGAGGTATCGGTTAATTGCTGCAGCCTTTCGGAGTTCGGCTGGGCGTCCTCACCGGTCGCCGAGTCACGGCTCTCTGTCTTGTCCCTGTTCGGGCACCATTTGTGAGGACGGAGGCACAGACCCAGAGGTAGAGTGCAAGCTGGATTGTTTATTGCAAAGATTACCTGATATTTATATGCTTCAAAGCAATTAGCCAAGCACATCTGTGTTTGCCTTGCAGTTACATCAGGTGAAAGGTCTATCTGATTTTCCTATCGACATCCTCTTTCCAGTTCCGACGTCCTTGTTCCTTGCCAGTTCCAACATCTTCCAAGTACCAATCAGGGACAGGTCACTCTTAATTGCCTGCTGTAGTTCCTCCTTCCCATGGTTACTCTTAATTGCCAGCTGTAGTTTCTCCTCCCCACGGTCTCTGACAGCTTTGATACATTCCAACCCCCACACAAGCAGACATTTAAGGAGATGTTCACACCACCTAAGGTAAAGCACCTTTCTTGGACAGTGTTTCAGCTGGACACTCTGGGGACTACACAGGGAGCCTGGGAGAGGTGACTGAAGCACCCTGTTCTGTGTAGTTATGCAGATAAAACAGTTTGGTTAATATTCCCCTGAAATGAGTTGTTTGGTGAAATTCCTTCCTCATCTGTGCAGCCTCTGCCATCACTGTTTCACTAAATTTGGATTCTAGTGTTACTGTTTTGGGGATTTCAATTCTCTCTTTCAGGCAAAAATAAAGCCTCAGAGGCACACAAGCAGCCTGCATCACCACATTAACTAACTGCATACTGACATCCATGGCCTGAATGCTGCTCAGGACACCTTTTATTACAGAAGGTGGAGGTTATTGTTAGAAGGTCAATGCAACTGGGGTAATCCTTGCTGTGAGGATTGCTCATGGAAGAAATGGTCAGTTCAAATAATTTAAATAAAAAAGGGGATCAAAGGAGTTTATAAATTAATTAAGGGCACATATTTAACTGGCAATCACTGATCTATACAGTAAAGATCAATACTGGTGAATCAACAGATACATTGATAGGTGCTTATGAAATCTCAGTAATTATCTACACGTTTCTAAAGATCCTCCTGTTACTCATTTCAAGAAATTATAATTGCACCCATGCACACACAGAGTTACAGGGGTATATGCACAAACCTCTCATGTCATAGGACAAGCAACCCCCTACCCCACCCTTCTGGAAGTAAGGGTTTGTTGTGGAACAGTTAGGCACTTCACTCAGAAGAGAGAAGCAACAATATACTTTATTCAGTGAAAAATGTGACAGTAATTTAATATAATTGAGTGGGAAAATTCACTTGATTATAGAGGACAGGGTTAGATAGAACTGTCCTCCTGTTGGGCCATGAGGGAGACCCTCCCATTGAGTCATGAGGTTCAGAGATAACCCCCTTGCTTTCTAAACTAAAAGAGGTGTTTAGGTACAGCTGGATCCATTCCTAGTCCCAGACTTGGTCTAAGGTTTATGTCTAAAGATATATATATATTTATATGCACTATCAATCCTTTAATCCCTTGGTCAAGATTTCAAAGTTTAGCATGCTGTCACTGTTGCAGAGGCCCACAGAATTGACTTAGGTAGTTTACAAGCCCCAAAGGAAATTTATTCCAATAAAAACCAATTTAATACTCCAGCATCATTAGTAAATTACAGGTTCTGGATGCCAAGTGAAACCAAATACTACACAACTGACTTAAGTTTTAAAGGGAATTAACCCAAAATGTGTTTCAGTTACCAGTCAAGATGAGGGCTCTCAACCTCAAGGAGCTACCTCAGGCAGTGTCCCAGCTAAGGAGAGAGTCCTCAGCTGCAGACCCACTGCTCTGAGGAGTAGCAACTCAATCCCTGTCTGCCGGCAGGATCTCATTCATACCGTAGTAGAATCTGATCTGGGCTCAAAAATATGGTTTGAGGGTTCTTGGCTTTCGACCAAAGTGTGGGTCTAGCAGTAGCCAGCTGTGCAATCCTGCTGTGATCAAAATCAGCAGACTTCGTGGCTACATGAGCCAGACTAAAGCTGGCAGATACTTGTTAGAACTAGCAGATACAGTTTTATATTTCAGCAGAGACCAGAGCCAGTAGATATATTTATAAGCAAGTATTCAGGCTCAGTGGTTCTTCCACCAGGGTGGGTGGAGATGCCATTGAGTTTCCCTACTTGCATTTATGTTTGTCCAGCCTTATAGGTGCCCATGCCACCCCATACCACCCTATATCCTCACATGTGCAGTCCCAAGTGTGGGTTCCAACTGGCTGCACTGTGCTGTGACTTTGCTGGCTGGGTGCAGGGTCTTCACAGCATCCAACAGGGAGACTGCTCTGTCTGGCCTAAGCAGGAGTCAGGATGCCAGCAGCGTGACTTTGGGCAGTGCCAGACCAGATTTTGGCTCCTGCTGTTTCCAGTCTAAGGTCTCTCTCCTCTTACGACAATTCTTTATGCTTCTCTCCAACTTCTTTTCATGCTGCTGCTTTGTTTCAAAAAAGTCCTTGAAATTCCCTGTTTGATCTGGGTGATGACCATATTCCCCTATAACATAATAAATTTTTGGGCACCTGCCTTCCAGATAATTTAGATATTTGATCCATCGGCTCCCTGTGTTCACTCAGATTTTTGTACTAATAGGCGAGCTTTTTCAGGTCATTTGCCAAGTCTTGGACATGAGCACCCAAAAAGGCTCTTGCTGTTGTAATTACAACTGCAAATCCTCTAGGTATGCTTATGTCAGCCAAAGGAGACTTTGTACCCATAGAGTTAAACCAAAAAGTAATTTTTCCAATACAAGTGGCATTCTCATGGTTTGTGGCAGTAAGAAAAGAAGGAGAAATTTTCCGCTAGGGATCAAATTTTTCTTGACCCTTCTGAGCAAAGAGGTACTAAGAAAACTCAGTAATGCAAACCTTTAAATGAAGCAATGTTGAAAGACCCTGCATGTGGGAATAACCTCAGTTCTAGTCTCTTAGAAGATTATGGAACAAACCCTCCTGGATATTCATATGACATCATGTTTAACATCTTGTTATCAACACACTTTATCAAGCTCACAGATCATGTGAAACTGGGAGAAGCAGTTGCTACACTGAGAAGCAGGGCTGCCACTCAGAGGGATCTTGACATGCTGGAGAAATGGGCTGACAGGAAACTTGCGAAGTCTGAAAAGAGCAAATGCAAAGTGCTGCACCTGGAGGGAGTAACCCCATGGAACCATACAACAGAGGCTGTTGGATCTCCACTCTTGGAGTTATTCAAAGCTTGACTAAGCAAGATCCTGACAAAAATACATCGATGGGTCCAGATGGAATACATCCGTGGGTGTTGAAGGAGCTGGCGGAGGTCATTGCTGGGCCACTCTCCATCATCTTTGGTAAGTCGTGAGAAACAGGTGAGGTGCCTGAGGACTGGAGGATGGCAAATGTCACACCAGTCTATAAGAAGAACAAGGAGGACCCAGGTAATTATAGCCTGGTCAGCCTTACCTCCATCCCTGGAAAGGTGATGGAACAACTTATTCTTGACACCATCCCTAGACATATCAAGGATGAGGGGGTCATTAACAGCAGCCAACATGGCTTTACCAAGGGGAAGTCATGTTTGACCAACCTTATAGCCTTCTATGAGCAAGTAAGTAGGTGGCTGGATGATGGTAGAGCGGTAGATGTGTTTTTTCTTGATTTCAGTAAGGCATTTGATACTGTCTCCCACAGCATCCTCATAGATAAGATAAGGAAGTGTGGGCTTGATGATCAGGTAGTGAGGTGGATCAAGAACTGTTTGAAAGGAAGAAGGCAGAGAGTTGCAGTTAATGGGGCAGAATCTAGCTGGAGGTCTGTGACTAGTGGAGTCCCTCAGGGGTCAGTGCTGGGACCAGTGCTGTTTAATATTTTCATCAACGACCTGGATGAGGGAACTGAGTGTACCCTCAGCAAGTTTGCTGATGATACTGAACTGGGAGGAGTGGCTGACACACCAGAGGGCTGTGTTGCCATTCAGCGAGACCTGGACAGGCTGGAGAGTTGGGCGGGGAGAAACCTGATGAAATTCAACAAGGGCAAGTGTAGAGTCCTGCATCTGGGGAAGAACAACCCCATGTACCAGTACAGGTTGGGGGCTGACCTGCTGGACAGTAGTGAAGGGGAAAGGGACCTGGGGGTCCTGGTGGACAGGAGGATGACCATGAGCCAGCAATGTGCCCTCGTGGCCAAGAAGACCGACGGCATCCTAGGGTGCATTAGAAAGAGTGTGGTTAGTAGGTCAACAGAGGTTCTCCTCCCCCTCTACTCTGCCCTGGTGAGATCCCATCTGGAATATTGTGTCCAGTTCTGGGCCCCTCAGTTCAAGAAGGACAGGGACCTGCTGGAGAGAGTCCAGCGCAGGGCAACTAAGATGATTAAGAGAATGGAACATCTCTCCTATGAGGAGAGGCTGAGGGAGCTGGGACTCTTTAGCTTGGAGAAGAGGAGACTGAGGGGTGACCTCATCAATGTTTACAAGTATGTAAAGGGTGAGTGTCAGGATGATGGAGCTAGGTTTTTTTCAGTGATGTCCAGTGGTAGGACAAGGGGCAATGGGTGTAAACTGGAGCATAGGAGGTTCCATGTGAACATCAGGAAAAATTTCTTTACTGTGAGAGTGACAGAGCACTGGAACAGGTTGCCCAGGGGGGTTGTGGAGTCTCCTACGTTGGAGATATTCAAGGCCCGCAGGGACAAGTTCCTGTGTGATGTACTCTAGGTTACCCTGCTCTTGCAGGAGGGTTGGACTAGATGATCTTTTGAGGTCCCTTCCAACCCTTGGGATTCTGTGATTCTGTGACCTTGGAGATGGCTCTGTTGTGAACAGGAGGCTGGATGAGCAGACCTCTGGAGGACCCCTCCAACCCAAATTATTCTGTGATTCTATAAAGGAAGGGATGAAGAGTGATATTAACTTCCACCCTCCATTAAAGATTTCAGCTTGAAACCTCAGTCTGCAATGCTGCTGTCATATGAACACAGGCACATAGAGAACAGGACAGTGCACAAAGGACATGTTCTTATCAGCCCCATCTGATCTAGCATGTTCTGTGTTTTGTTACAGGGACTAATCCTTCTAGCACTGCCTATTGCCTCCTCCAGCACCCCATCCACGACTGGGCTCTGCTGTGCTGTGTTGCCTCAGGCCTCCTTACAGCTTTTTATACCTGCTAGTTGTAGATACCCATTTTTGAGCTTTTGGGCTCTTTTGCTTGCTTGAAAAAGGCCCTTTTTCAGGGCCAGCTCACCTTGTCTCCTGCTCTATTTATCATTGAACTTCTGAAGGACATACAGACTGTCTTTTATATTCCAGTATTCTCATTGTCTTGATCCTTTTTGCCTTCAATGTCCAAGATTACAATTTCCTACAAGCACCCTTAGTTCTGTGCTGGCCAAAACCTTCCAGACATCAGCTAAAAGTGCTTATTAAAGTGCCCAGCGTGCTCTGATACAGCCATTTCAACCAGTCATCCATTTGCTCTATTAGTAGTCTTTACAGGCATTACCTAATATTTGCCAGTTTTTAGCATAAGCCTGAAGTCACAAGAGTTAATACTACAGTGAAGACTGCACAGC